GTGGGAAGAGGATGGGGATTTCTATTGTTTATTAATTTCTTTGGTAAAAACAATTGCTCATGGCTACTCATAAGGTGTTTTTAAAACATTGTTGGTGTAATAAATTGACTCAAAAGGGACAATTTGGAATTGTTCAATCTTCCCGGATCTTTTGTGGGATAACCTAATTTTATGACAACAACTGTTTGTGTGTCATTTTTTGCATCTTTTGGAAACTCAGGAAACTGCCACGCTGACCAAAACATCAAAAGAGAAAGCAAAAGCAGCACCACTATGTCGAGGCAGAGATCTTTACAGTGAAAGCAAGTGCTGGTAGCCATGGCCCTGCCAGCAGCTCTCCCTCTGGGGCCTTGCCAACTCGGAAAGGGCAGCCCAAGCTATTCTTTTCAGGACCCTGCCATGGCATGGACTGCGCCAGGCATTCTGTTCTGGGGAAAGCATTTTAGCCGATAGGCCAGGAGGCAAATCCCAGCTCAAACAGATGTCCTCTACCATAGGCTGTAGAGAATGCTTCATGGATCTAAGAGCCTGATGAAGGAAAGAGAACAAAATAAGCACAAATAATGACAATTATAGCTCTATTAACTGAATATTTATTATGTATCAGATGCTGTGTGACCTAATGCATGATATGCTTAATCCTTAATACTGTACTAGGTGGTGGGCTTTATTTCTCTTGCTTTATACACAAAGAATCTAAAGCTCAGAGATTTTATAACATAAATGTGAATGAAGGAAATGTCTGAGAAAGGAGGCCCTTGGAGAAGAAATGGACCCACGTGGAAAAGAGAAGCTTAGAAATATAACCAGAGCTGTCTCTCCTTCTGTGTACTGACCAAATGGAATATCGATTCACCACATCCTCCAATCTATTAGACATATCGCAATTGTTCCTTCTTTTCTTTCTGTCTTTTGCATGGAGGATAGTATACAGTACCAAAAGAGGTCCTAGAGCACAGACCTAGAATCTCAATCATGACAGCCAAAACTCTTAGTTTCTCTGTCTCTCATCTCAACTACAGAGGCCTCAATCTGGCCGGCCCGGTGGTGCACTGCTACAAGTGCGCCGCTTGGGAGTGCGGCGGCGCTCCCGCCGAGGGTTCGGATCCCACATACAGACCGGCCGCTCACTGGCTGAGCGAGGTGCAGGTGCAACACTGAGAGTTGCGATCCCCTTGCCGGTCCCGGTCCGGTACGGGCGCGACACTGAGGGTTGCGATCCGTTGCTGGTCACGAAAAAAGACAGAGGCCTCAATCTCTTTCAGCATCTCATTCTGGGCTTCCAACTACTAGGACCAGATGCCATTTCTCTAGATACTACAGGGTCTCCTTTTACATAAGGCCAAAAGTAGCCCCGCAAAGTATATAGCACAAAGCTTTGGGGATATAGAAAAATGCATTCTGGAGGCAAATTGTTGCCCTTGCCCTTGCAGCAGTTTCCCCCACCCATCCCACAGTTGGTCTGTATTGCCACTGGACAAACGGTCTCACCTTGGACTACATTCTGACCTTGCCTGTGATAAATTCTGAAGTGCCCCGTGATACACGGGCAATGCCTTTTATTAAGCTGGTGGAGGCCCCTTCTCCAATACCAAATGAGAAACATCTGCAACTGTAAAAGGATAGAGGTTGGAGACAGGCACTAAAGAATGAAATTATGAAATTAACATATAATGCTCAAAAATACATGAAGATATGGTCTACTTTCTTGACCAAAAGCATAATAGCTACCATTTATTGAGCATATTCTATATTTGAGGAGCTATAATAAATGCCTTAAATTAATTACACAACTTAATCATCATCTCTTAAGAGGCAAGCCTCTGCTTCATTTTGCAGATGAGGAACTGAGGCCCAAAGAACTTAAGAAATCTGTCCAAGATGACATACCTACTAAATGGTGGAGATGGCACCAGAGCACTGATCTGTCTGACTACAAGATCCTCCTGGCAATCCAAGGAAAAGACAGATACTATCACCAGAGCCTGTCTAGCATTGCTGTGGTGAGGCCATCTTAGGTTGGGGGAGTGTGCCTCCTGCTCTTCTAACCGCAGAGATCTTGCCCTGCCCTAGTCCATATGTACCAAACAGCTTCTGAACCATGACTTGGTTTCCCCAATAGACCTGTCTATAAATGGAGAATACATTGGTAATACTAATGCAAGCATTTTTAGAATCCACAACAGTGATAGTTTTCACTGTAAATTACTACGTTGGAATGTTGGCTTATGTATCAGTCTCTTTTGATTTGGGTTAATGTGAGTCATCATCCTTAAATGTAGTGACATCAGCAGTAGAATTAATGCTCTAAACTTGTAAGACTAAGGACCAAAATTCGAACTGCAGTAATCTAACTGTGGTAATTCTACCTAAAGAACACAGGCTGCCAGCATCTTTAAATTTCCAACATAATCTTTGAGCTATACCCTATGTTACAGTGTGCTTCTGTGTGTGTTTTAAAATATTTTAAAGCATAATACTAAAATTGAACAATTTGTATTGGTGGCTAACTCTATGCCTAGAACTCATTAATGTGCTTGATGTGAATTATAATAAAAATAAAAATAAAAATTACAATAATAGCAAATTTCATATAGCACTCATTTTATGTCAAGCACAGTTCCTAATGCTTTACTTAGATACACTTTTTTAACCATCACGATAAACTTATAAAGTAATATTAGTATCCCTATTTTCAAGTGAGAAAACTGAGACTTAGAGAAGTTAGTTGATTAGCCCAAATAACTGGCAAGCTGAAGAACTGGAACTTAAATACATAATATCCAAGGTCAGTTCTACACATAGCAATGCCAGATAAGTGGTTTTAAGCTAGTAGAGAACTAGAAAAGCTGTACACAATACTTTTAATAATTTGTTTGAAAACATGAAAGGCTACCAAGATAATAAGAATCTCTGAGCTGAAACCTGGGAGAGGAGGGAAACCAAGAGAAATGAGCCTGATGTCTGGTGACCTTGTATCCTTTGAAGCAAGTGCCTAATACAAATTGGATGGCTGAAAACCTAACCAGTTTCACAGATGCTGGAAGAAAAAAATAGCAATTTGGGATTTCCAAAGGGAAGGTGTCCTTATAAACACCTCAAATTTTTGGATAAAACCAAAACTATACCCTAGATGTACAGATGAATCAGAAATAGACCAACCATCACAATGACAAAAGTTCATTGTACTCTGGCAGGATTAAGATGATCAGCTCCTTGTCTAGCAACCCATCTGAACCAAAGAGTAAATCCTCTCAGAGGAAAGATATCTAGAGACTCAAAGGATTTCTGTAATTTTTCATATACAATATCTAACATCTAACAAAAAAATAAAAATACTTAAATATTGGGAAATTATGTACTGTAATTGTGAATTACATAGGCTTAAAAGAGAAGTCATCATGATAATTAGAAAATGTTCTTAAGTGGATGCCAATGGTAAATAACACATCTAAATTTAGGATTCAGTTACAGATATGCTAAAATCTGTAGCTTTAAATTCATGTTAGAAAAGGAAGTCTAAAAATCAAGTACCTAGGCATCTATCTCAAGATTTTAGACAAAGAACAGCCAATAAGCCCAAGGGATGTAAAGGAAAGAAAATAATAAAGATAGAAGTTATTAGTGAAATAGAAAACAATCATGTAATAGAGATGATCGACAAACCAAAAAAGCTGGTGTTTTGAAACAATTATTAAAATTGATAAAATTCTAGGGTGGGAAAAAAATGGAAAAGGCACAAGTAACCAATACCGGGAATGAAAAGGTACAATCACTACAGATTCTACAAAATTTAGTAACATTATAAGTCAACACTGTAGAAGATTTAATGTGAAGAAATTTGAAAATTTAAATAAAATATGCAAATTCCAATTTTTAAAACCTTATGAATATATGAATAGCTCAAACCCCCCCCCAAAACAAAAAAACCTTCCCACAAAAAATTTCCAGGTATAGACGGTTTCATTTGCAAATTCTAGTAAACATTTAAGAAAGAAGGCATTCACAGAACAGAAAAAAAGGCAACATTCACAGTTCATTTTACAATGACAGCATAATGTTAATATCAAAATCTGACAAGATATTATAAAAAAAGAA